CCCAGCAAGCTGCCCAGCATTTCTAGGAAGGAGAAAAGCAAACCGCCGTCCCACCTCGGGCTGCGCGGTCACAAGTGAGGCAGGACTGGGACCAGTCACCATTTGGGTGGGAGGCCAGCCCCAGGTGCGACAGGAAGGGGTGATGCTGGCTCAGCGGCTGCAGCTCCTCACTCTGACCCAGCGGGGCCCCTGTGCGATGCTGGGGGCACAGCGAGGCCTCGGGTGCTGTTGGGCAGGGACACACACACACACAGAAAAAGACATGCCATTAGAGGGAGAGGAAGTGGCCGAGGTTCGAGCAGAGGCTGATTCCTGACCGACGTTCTCAGAGGCAGTGAACAGCCTGCTGATCCACCACATTCTGACCTTGAATATGCTGCTCAATCTCAACGTCTGAGGGAACCAGAAACCACCAGAGCTGACTATGGCAGCAGCAGTCAGCTCAGTGTAAAGCCAGGCAGGACCTGTGATGAGAGGCCCCATCCAGGTTCCCACCTGTACCCTCAACGACCTCTCCCCTGCACCTGGAACATTCCACAAACTACTGATGAAAGAAAACACTACTTAAGCTCCTCGATTTGTATCCTCCAGCTTCTTGAGAACAAAGACTGCAAAAGGCAGGTAGAGAGAGGAACAGCTCCGATGGCCACACAGCACAACTCCAGCCACCTCCCAAAGAGGAAGCCAAGGAGACGAGACCAACTCGACCCACAGGGACCTTTCTAGGGGATGGAGAGAGGTAACTTGAGGGAAACAAACACCTTCACTTCTCAAAGAGCAATCTTTATTTTCTAGTGTGCCCCAGCCTGGAAGGAGACCTCTGCAGATGTAGGTTATATTTTTTTCAAGGGCTTTCATGAAGGTCACAGCCTTTGCTTAAGCAGAGTTCAAACTAAGTGAGGAAAAGATGGGATGAGAAAGGGCTAACCTCTCCCAGCTTGATAATAATTTACAATTCCTAGAGGCAGGAAGTCTGACTTTACTATGCAAATCTTCTACTTGATACATTTCTTAAAATGCTACCGGTGCCTATACAATGTCAAATTGAAACCTGCAAAAGCAGGAAATATCAGCAGACTACTGACTGAGCAAGGGTTGCCGGGTTCATCAAACTACAAACAACTTCCTTTAAAAAAAGTTTTCTGTTAGCTGACAGAGAGTTACTGATTCCAGAAAGAAAGGGTATGGAGACCTACACTTTTATTTTAACAGAGAAAAGACACAAGTTTTGCATCCCCCACTGCAGCCCACCCCAAGGGCACTGGGGCCACCTGTCTCAACAGCTCACTGTGAAGAGCCCCATTAACAAGCAACCAGGATGTCAACACTGCTCACTGAGATCAGCTGTCATCACGCCCTGAACTCCACTTCTGTTCCCTGAAACCTCTTCTGAACCTTAGGCCTAGAGCAATCTGATATGCAAAATGAGAAAACAGAGCAGCCCACCCAGCACAGACCCCACCACACAAACAATTCACCAAGAACTCTCGTCCGCAGGTGGGAAAAGGGGGCCGTGCCCACGTGCACACCTGCAGAGGTCTTGCCTTCTCTCTCTGGTTAAGGGAGACAGAGAAATACCACCTCATGCCCTGTGACGCTAAAGTAGAAAATACACTGAGCCAGTCAGGAGACTTGTAGCCCAGTCATTAAAAAAACATTGATGTGAGATTAAAGAAACAAGATTATCCAGAAAAAGCATTTGTTTCCTCCTAGCTACCAAATACAGTCACCTCCCCAGTGCGTGTGCGGCGGGCCAGTCCTGCTCTGCAGCCCTTCCCCAGGAGGAAAGAGGAGGCCTGCCTCTCTGCCCGCCTTCTCTGCAGGCCTTCCTGCCTAGTTGTACAGAATCAGACTCAGAGAAGCAGAGGGTCCTGAGACACTGAGCCAAAGCAGTCATGGGGCCGAAAGCCCCTTTGTAACAGTAACTCGAAGCAGACCAAGGGTATTGTCTGGGCGGCCACAAGCTGAGACAAAGGTCAGATGTACCATCTTGCTCAGCCCAAGGGCACCCACCCACCTGTTGCCCAGTGCTACCATGTCTGCAGCCAGTGGGCTCTAGCAGAGGGTGAGGCGCATTTCCACTACTCACAGCCATGATAGGAGGCTGGTGATCCCCCGGCCTTGCCATACTCCTGCTCCGAGTAGGTGGTAGAGAGGTTGGGCTGGCTGGAACCACGACCGAAGGTGATCTGGTTGCTGCCCATGCCGGTGGCAACCTGGGCCATGCGCTCTTTGGTTTTGAGGGCCTGGGCCCTCTCGGCCTTCAGGCGCTCCTCATCCCTGAGGAGGGCCACCAGCTGCTTTGACTTCTCACGCACATTGATGCCCTGATCCTTGCCGTCGCGGTCCATGTACTGGAAGTCCTTCAGGGTCTGGATGGCAAAGATGTTCTCTCGGCACTGCTGGGCCACCCGCTCAGAGCCCGTCTTGATGAGGTAGTCCAGGAGTGTCAGGGCCTTGTACACATGCCGCCAGTTCTTGCCATGGTCATTGAGCCGCTTCCACACCATGCTCATGATCTCCGAGAAGGCCACTACATTGTAGGTCAGGTCTGCGATCTCGGTCATCAGAGAGCTGGATGGGCCCCATGGGTCATTGGAGGTGGCTTCCCGTACTTTTATCTCGGCTTCTGAATAATTGTTCACAATGTTTTTCATCTGTCGTCTGATAGAAGAAGTCGTCATCTTTATTATCCTACAAACGTAAAGCCCTTCAAAGAGAGAAACGTTCCTGTCCTGGGCAAGGCTGCACCCTGCAAAGGTTCTGTCTCTGTAACAGATCTGGAGCAAGATCCCTGACAGTCATTTCTTTCGCTGGAGACTCAGCTCTGAGAAGCTGGAAGCCATGACCTAGAGAAATAAAGAAAAACACTCACTGTGCCATGAGCTCCTGACACAGGAGGAGGCTCTGGCGCAGACACTTCTGAAAACAGTGGGTACTGGCGTATGCAAGGGGGGCGAAATTGGACATACTCCAGCCCCCCTAGGATAAAAGAGATTCCACCTTTCTTTCAAGATGAATATCAATATTACAAGTTAATAATGAATAAAATTTAAATTCAAGTTTAAGCCTTTGGAAGAAATACACGATTATTTTCTATTTTTGTTCTATTTTCAAAATGCTTCCATTGAAATGGCTCTTCTACGGGTTGTATTTTTACTGCACGGCAAAAGCAAACTACAAAAGAATCAACATTGGGGGAGGTTGGTCCTGACATATTTTAAATTATCTTTGGGAATAAGAAGGCCTCTCATCTCAGGTATATCTTAACCCCAAAATGCCTATCTATACCTTTAAAATTGTTTAACATTTGGCGTTGGTCCACCATGCTTGTAACTGCCCAGATAATTCCCTGTGACCACCACTTTCCTCCTGACTTTTTATAAAGGTTCCCAACTACTCTTCTAGAGCTGGGCTTTCAAAAGTCTCCAGCACCTGGCCCAACCTGTATAATATAGCCTAGAAATAATCTGGTGCTAGCCCAACCCCTCACTTCCAGAGGAGAAAACTGAGGCTCAGGGTCATGCATTACCTGGCTCACCCAATCCTATGCCACAAATACATCTAGTCCCTCTCCAGAAGAGAAACATTTACTGAGCTGACATGAGATCCATGTCTCCGACAATGGGCTCTGGTCCACAAGTTTGGTGACCCCCATTAGTCTTGTTCACTGATGAGCACCCAGCACCTAGCACTGTGCCTGATATGATATAAATCCTGCTGAATAAATTTATGAAACCACTGAAAACAATGTCCCTTTCCTCAGGAAGGCCACAGTCTGACAGGGAACAGAAAGGTGCAAAGCCAGAACCAACTGGCTGGTGGGGCTGCAAAGGCAGGCAGGGAAGGGCTTTTGCAGAAACAACCCTCAGTATGGCCTTCAGAACTGAGGAGACCTGAGGGGATGGATGGGACATAGTGATGTAGATTACTCCTCATTTACAAAGTGAGGAAAAAGGCCCAGGAGACTCCAGGGACTGCCAAAGACAGAGCAGTACAACCAGGGCCTGGGTGCCCCCCCCCCCC